TCCCTGTCTCCTTAAGACATCTGGATCTGAAAATAATTTCAGAAGGATTGGAAGAGGAATTGGGAGTACTTGGCTGACCTCTCCATCATTAACATAAATCAGAACTTAGAGCAAAATGACATGCTGGGCAGTGACTGAAATATGTTGTGCCCGGAAACAAAATCGTTTGCTATTGGTGTGCACGTTCTTAGAACATCTCTATGAAACAACAGGGCCAAGCCTTCACTTACCAGATTGGAAACTGAGGCTCAGAGAGGACTATATTATTTTGGCTAGGCTTTTTCAATATGTAGCAGAAAACAGTGGAAAAACTTTGATAACTAATCTCACCAGCCTTCACAGCCTCTGTGGAATTTCATTTTTATACTGCCCAATAAGAAGGCTCTCTAGTCAGTTACAAAAGTTTAAATTAAACAAACATTAAAATACACAGGAGACACATTAATTGTGACCAGAGGTATGGGCTATGTTGTGGCATACAAACTGAAAAAATAATTTAAAAAACCAAAACTGCATGATTCAGTGCAGAAGCATAGCAGTGGTACAGAATAAAATGAAGCATGTAAAAAAAGTTTAAAAGTTAAGCTATTAAAACACTGGGAAAATAAAAAGGTCTTCACCAGGTGACAAAAAGAATATAAAGCAAGCACCAGGTTCACCTCTTTGGGGAGCACTTTTCAAAACCAGGGTGCCACAACAGAAAAGGCCCTCTTTGTGGTAGCCACCCACCTCATTTCCTTTGGAAGGGGCTCCTGGAGAAGGACCCCAGATTACCCCAGGGTCCACATAGGTACATATAGGAGGAACCAGTCCTTCAGATAACCTGGCTCCAAATCTTGAAGGGCTTTGAATGTTAGTGCTAGCACTCTGAATGGAATTCTATACCATTCTTTTTAAATGGTAAATCTTAAGATTTATCCTCAACAATGGCTTACAAATAACTTAAAATTCATCAAATATTTGATGAATTTCCCCCTAAAAGTTGTGTTGGACCTATGTTTTGTAAATGTGTGACTTCCAGATGTGTTGGATTACAATTCCGCAGCATCCCTAGACAGCCTGGAGTTATAGTTCAACACACTGAGAAGGCACCAAGCTGGGCAGTCCATACCTGATAAGGACAATAAACTGCTTTCATTCTCTTTTACTCAATGTTGTTATCATTGAAATTTTCAAGAAATCATTTTTCTGTAAACAAAGGACTTTCTTTCTCCTCTGAGGCTGTACATTTCAAATTCAATGAGCTCAGGCCATCTTGGGAGCAAAAGTACGAACCCTATAAATATAGCAGAAAGTGTCCTGATCCTCTGAAGTAATAACTTGCTGGGAAGTGCAGTGAGTCCATATCTGATTTTAACTGGGACTTTTATTTGATCCTATCAATGTTGGTAGAAAATTTGAAGAAACAACCTCCTCTTCTCTCCTTTTGTAAGTGCCATGGCCTGCAAGCCAAGCTGGTTAAGAGATTAACACTCTAAAAACCACATTTACTCTAATTAGCCATGAAATCTTTGTAACTAAGTGAAAAAATGTTTCCCTTGAGGGAGTTTTGTCCATTCATCACTGTTTGAATTGTAGTTTTGTAGGGTGTGTGTGGGGGGGATGCAAAGAGGGAACAATAGAATAAAATATAAAATAAAATCAGATCTAATGAATTAATAGAACACCCAAGGGGGTAAGCAGATGCTGGCTGCAAAATAGAGGCATCTCAAATGAAGATGGGAAGGGGGCTTGATTGTGGTTCCCCCCTTTCCTAGTTGGCTCAATGGTTCGTTGTGAATTATTTCTAGTTAACAGACTGTAACACAATGCATGGATCTCCATGACTCAAGTAGGAGCTTGGCTTGCAGTTCTTGGTTTTCCCATTTGTAGTGATGGACAGAAGTACATTGTACCCCCTGGCTATGCGTGTAGACAGCTGTGTGCTGCTACATGAAGAGACAGCTGGATGAATGGGGGGGGGGGAGCATCAGAAAAACGGAGCCCCATGTTGAATTGCTAAAATATTATTTTACCAAGGAAGGTGAGGAGAAATGGTTTGCTGAGCAAAGAGGGCTGGGGAGAGTACCTCACTGCAAGCCAGAGCCATAAATATTTCATGTTAGTGGAATACGGATGATTATATTCCTGCCAGCACCTTTCTTGAGTATTTTAAATGTGTCACCGACTTCCACTCCTTCCCCCTCCCCACCCGGTTTGTGTGTTTCTTGTAATGTGCCCATGAAATAAAGATTAGCTGAATAATCAGGAGTGTTTGGAAATGGGAAAAGGGCCTGTCTCAAGACCAGTACAGGCTCAGGTTGGGGGTGAGAAAGAGAGGAAAATAAACCTTTATTTTAATTAGTGCTTTTTTAAAGGATGCCCAACAGGCAGCAGAGTAAAATTTCCCAGGACTGAATATAAAGATCATATAAAGCTTTATTTCCAGTGCAATTGCTTAGATGTAGAGGGGCAGACACAAAACTGGAATGGTAAAGGTGGGGGCCAGTTGAACTCTCAGTACAAGTTTATCCAGGCTGAGATATAATGAAGTGCAAATGAAAACAGGGGAATCATATTTTACTGATTCCAGTGAAATCTGGCAGCCTTTTGGACACTGCTGAGGATTCACTTCTGAACAGTTGCAAAAGTGACCAGGAACAGCTAAGCGTAGCACATCAGCAGTTGTTATGGAGGCATCAAAATAATTCATACACCTTTATCTTGATCCTGGTACACCAGTGTTCTGACAGAACATGTACCTCACCTCTGGCACTGGCTTTGGAATGTTACACCATGGTACGGGGAATTCTTCTCTGCAACCTCTATTCAAGTCTTAAACATCACTGAGGGATATGGGAAATGCCTATTGCCTGAGGACAACTAACACCTCTGGAAACCTTAAAGCAATCTTGCAAATGAGTAGTAAGCAGCAACTAAGCAGAAAGTTTTTACTGCTCTTTCCAGCTTTCAGATTAAACCTTCAAAAGTACATGTGGTCCGTGTGTCTCCACCACAAACCCACTGCAAATATCATTTCCATTTAGCTGCACTGCCAACCAATTATTCTTTTATTTAATGTTATTTGCCAAACAGAATTAAAGAGGCAGAGGCAGGTGGAAGCATTTGTTAGCCAGCTTCAGAGTGATTGGAACTGCTGGGTTTGTTCCTTGCTTTCTTTCTTTAATTATATATTCTGGGAAATTCAGGGTCTTCAACTGAGGAGGTGGACAGACAAACATCAAGCACAGTGGAATGAAAGGAGAGGGAAGTGGGGGCAGTACTAGCACATTTATGGAACCTGTTCAGATTCTAAAATAAAATGTGTTACTTCTTCCACAGCACAACATTGTCATAAGTTGGGCTGGACTGGGGAGTCTGCACAAAAAGATATATTAGAACAGTCTGGGCAATAATAATAAATAATAAATGGGAAAACTTATCTTTTTGTAGTGAGTGTTGGATAGAGTGGACAAAGTGCTTATATTTCAAAAGCCAAACAGTATACTATATTTTATCTATTTATTATATCCTGAACTGACATTGGCTGTTTACAGTCAGTCAACCAAACAATGCTGGAAATGCCATGTTTATATAGAGTCGAAGGTTTGCAGAGGGACGGAGGACCTGGCCATGGGGAATACAAAGGAAACTAATTGTTTGAGGTATTGACATTGCTGGCTCTGAATGACATTTGCTCTGCTACAAATATATAGTCATCTGGCTGCTGACCATTGAAGAGAAATAGGTCATTGACTTAACTTGGTGAGACAGTGTCATCAATGAGGCTGTCCAGTCAACAAGAGCTCACAAACCACAATTAATCAGAGCTGCAGAAGTGGTCCATTTCAGGACAAGTCACAACAGATCCTGGGGAAATACTAGTAAACACATCACTCTGTGCGTGTGTGTGTCTGTGTGTGCACATTAACAAACATATACTTGTAGACATGCAGTGGAGCACCTTTCAGTGTCTTGTCTCTCAACAAATACTGAGCTGTGCAACTCAGAGATTGCTCTTTTCTATGTACCATGTAAAAACTCATTGTGAATCCATGGGGTCTTTCATCTAATGCCCCTGTGCACTATACCATAACACTGAAAACATCCAGAGCCTCCAGAAGCACGAAGTTTGGAGCAACCTGCACTACAAATAAGGATTCTCAGGGGTTGACATCCCAGATTCAACTGGGAAAAGGAGACGAGGAAACAAATGCTCTATTTACTGTGCAAATGACTAGAAGATATTCAGTCATAGGATGGACACATGTACTTAAGCAATAACTTCGTGGTTTGGTGAAAAGATGTGATGCTTAAGTTACCCTACTGGAAACTTAACATATGCTTCCTTAAGAAGTGTTCTGAGACTAAGAAATATGTTTCCATAGGACTATATCACTGGGATTTGATAATACTTAAGACCAACCACACTGAGAACTTTTTTGAACCTGTTAGCTTCCTCTTATGCACTTGGCTCTGCCGGATGCAGACCAGGCTGTAGGAAACGAGCACCCCACCAAATTTAGAGAGAGATGGAAGCCATTTGACAGCAGAACACCAAACCTAGGAAAGCTCTCACCTGGAAAGGTGTGCAACCTTCTCCTGCAGCTATTGGAGCCTCTCAGGAGACTGCCCCCAAACAGAACCCTTTTGAAAGGGACACGTGTCCTACTGGTTAGAAAGACAAACCTACCCTCAGTTTCCTAAGTGTGACCCAGAACAACACTGCCTGATGGAACCTTAATGATGCTTAACAGAACCAAATTCCACACCATCCCCATCGCAGGAAAGTGCCTGGAGAGACAGGTGGATCAACAGTGATGATGGTGATAGTAATTATATGAAAGAAATCTTAATGCCACGTAACGCTACAAAGAATAGGGTAGGGTGCAGGCTGCGGGTGGCAGATCAGCATTCCCCCATCGCCAATCCATGCAGAATAAGCGGGAAGCAGGTTTCAGTGGAAGGCGTGAGCAGTCCCGCTGCCAGCTTTGGCTGGCCGCCCAGCTTCAGAGACTTACCCAAGCTAAAAAACGACTCTTGCCTCTTTCCTCGGGGGTGGGGGGAGCACCCAGTTTCTCCCCACACCTCCTCCTCCTCCTCGGAATTACGGCGAGGTAATCCACACAGTGCCTGAATTCATTGAAATCCACTGCAAGTCAACCCCGCTGGCATTGATCTGTATTCCTAAAGTAGCTCAGCTTGTTTCTTCCTTGGATCAGCTCAGTCAGTCGGTCATTCCTGCGAAGCGCCCCTGCGCTAGTGGATGCCCAAGAGATGTGCTCCAAAGCAGGCTTGCCCAATTGTCTCTCCCGGCTCAAAGCATCTGCCCACCTAGGTATATCCTGACTCCCGCCTGGCACCAGCAGATTTCCCCTTAGCGGCTGCTGCGGCTGCTGCTCGCCTTCTTCACGCTGTCATTTCCTTCGTGGATGTGGATCTGCCTTCTCTCTCCTCCCACCTCCCCCTTTCTCTCTCCCTCTCTCTCGCAGTCTGCCTCTCTGTATTCCTACCAGTACCACAGTCACTGTGCACTCCTTGCTCCGGCTCTAGACTGGCACTACGCGCATCTCCCCCCCATCAGAAGCAGCAGCAGCGGCGGCGGCGGCGGCGGCGGCTAAAGCCAGCCTCCTCGTATTACCATGTATCTCATTAACATACAGTCACAGGGGGTTAACCCTTCCCCAACCGGCGCCTCAAATCCCAAGCCTTCCCAAATTGCTGCAGTCTCTGGATTCTCTCCCCCCGCGCTTCTCTCCCCCCCCCCCGGCAACGTCACAGCCAAGCCAAATCAAAGAAGAGGGGGCGACTGGATCGGGAAGGAACGGAGAGAGGGCAGGCATATGTTTAAAAATAGATTCACAGCCGTTTTTGTCCCCACAGGGCCAAGGGAAACGAATCTAGCCTTCGCCACGGCAGCGTAGCTACCTTAAGCGCGCGCGGTGGGGTGGCGGCGGCGGCGGCCCTTTTCCTTGTTTGTTCGCACGACGCAAAAAATAATGCAACAAAAATAAGGAGGGCAGGGGAAGAGGAGGAGGGGGAACGGCAACTTCGGGAAAGCATACGAACTCCGTGTCATCGGGGCTGACACACTAGCAGCACGGGCAACTGAGGATGGCGTGCTCAGAATCGATCGGCGATGGCACGCGAAGGCGAAGCGGGGACTTCTTGCCAGAGCCCGACCTGTGGGCTGCCACAGGTGGCACCTCGAGTCCATCACGGAGGACCGAGTGTCGAGGGGAGGGGAGGGGAGGGGAGGCTCGTCCTCTCCCCTCCCCCGTAGCCTGGCGCTTACTCTAGAAGACTTGCGACCCGATCCCATCCACGCCTGTTGACTCGGAAGCAAGCCCCCCCCCCCCCCCCGTTCACTGGAGTCTCTCCTCCCCGAGTAAATGCGCGCAGGATCGCAGCGGCCTTAACACGAGAGGTAGTTCCGCGTGGTCCCCTTGGGGAGCTTTTGTGCCTCTTTTCGGCTTGTCGCGCATTCTGATTAAAGACCCGGGGGCTTTACTCGTGCTTGATTTTAGGGTTTCTATACGAGAGGCCGTGGGACTCAGCCCGGCCACGTCCGGTGCGCATCAAAGTAAGGAGAGCGCTCTTCTAGGAGCCAGGTGCGAGGACCCTGCGAAGCCAAAGAGGCTGCAATATAGAAGGCAGAAAGCAAGACTTGTCGTCTGCTTTCTATTTGCTGTGAATAAAGCGCGTGAACGTGACGGAGAAGGAGAGAGGATGCCTGCATATGCGCGCAAAGAAATGAGGAAAGTTAACGCAGCGCATCCGCAAACATTCCTTAAAACCATCGCGGGAAACCTGCTTTTCCGTAGAGCACACGTAGATCGTAACAGTTACAACGCCATCGTTCATGGAGGGGAATTCCTTCCCTCGGTCTTCCCCTAAGGAGTGCCCTCCACATGTTTGTGACTAACTCTCTCATCATCCCTGACCCGCGTCATGCTAATGGGAGTTTCAGCCCGAAATATCGCGGGGACCCTCCTCCAGACTGGGCTGAGGGCGTGGGGAAGAGGCTGCCATTTTAGGACCAGTTTAAGAAGTCACCGAATGCGAACGCTCTCAAGAAAGGAAAAGAGGCTGGTTAGAGAAGTCGGTCAGTAGCGGGGAATCCTTTGGCACTGGTGGCACTAAAGTTGCAAAGTGAGGAATCTGTTGCTGTCCTGACTGGCGATCCTTGTTTTCTTTTTAAGAGTCAGAGAGTCTTTCGAGTCAAAGAAGAAGGAGAGCCAACAAATGAAAGCTAAAATCTGACTGTGAGTAGTTGGAAAATGGGATAAATTGATTTAATGCCCATGAGGGCAATTCTCCAGTGGAACTACCCACCTAGAGACACCATCCCGTATCCAGCTTTTTACTGTACCATTGAATCTCAAAGCACCAAAGATAGCAGCTCTAGGGCTTGAATCTAGGGCTGCAGAACCATGTGTTATGCTCAGTTAATCCTCTATTACTTACTTTTTCCTCAAGGAAAAATCATCCCAAGGATATTGCTTTAGGGGAAAGCCATACAGCCCACACCTGGTGCAATCTGGTGTGATGTGTAAATGTTAGTCCTACTTAGAGCTGGCCCATTGAAATGAGCATCAGTTATGATTTGGATAGAAATGAATGCTTAGAATAGTGCTTAGAATGTTGGACCAGAACTCAGGAAATCCAGGTTCTAGTCCCCATTCAGCCACGAAGCTCACTGGTTGACATAGCATCAGATCCAGTTTCTCAGAATGACAGAAGAAAATGGAAAGGAGAGGAGGATTGTGTAAGCCACCTTGGCTTACTTGAAGGAAAAATGGTGTGATACAAGTATAATAAACACTCGAGGGAAACTTAAGTGTACATACTATCCTTGCACCTATTCTTCATGAGCCCCTCTGACAGAGCCTACATGCATTCAAACTGCTTGCACAAAGGATCTGTACACACAACACGGGGGCAGAGATAGTTCATACATGAATTGCTTGTGCAAGCAAGCTCACACACAACAGTTGAGAGTAGAGTATGGGGCTACAGACCTCTTCTGTGTGTTCATAATCAGATTCCATATTCCCTGCACAAAGCTTATTTTCATGGTGTTCAAAACCTGCCTACTGTGTTTTCTGTCCTAGGAAAGGTGCTGTTTCCTTAGCTTCCACTTCTATGTGTCTTGTTTCTAAGAGAGTTCCAGTATGAGACTGAAGGGGCACTTTCATCATTTTGTTTTACATGGTCCTAAAGCTGACGGTCAGTTTCTGCAATGCTCTTACACAATTATCCCTACAGATATGGGAATGTTAATATATAACTGATCATATTTATCCAATGTTAGTCCTCCTTAGAGTAAACCCATTGAAATGCATGTAATTTAAGTTAAACTTATTCTGGATACAGCCTCCAGAGTACAGTTTTGTTTTATCTTTCTGCCAAGGAACTGACAGCAGCAACCATAGGGTTCATCCCATTTTATCCTCACAACCACCCTGAAATGTAGGTTAGGCTGGGATGGTGACTAGACCAAGGGTTATGAGGTAAGTTTCATGATGGTGCAGGGATGTAAATGCAGGTCTTGCTAGCTCAAGTCATATCTGCTACACTACAGAGGTTCTCCTAAGAGTTCTGACACTGAATCTTTGTAAATGATCAGCTCAGCCAGAAGCTTTGGGCTCAATTAGGGGAGATTTAAAGACTAGAGCACGTACACTAAACATTAAGTATGAATTTTATGGTTATAAAATGGGTACTCTATTAGGGTCTGTCATTACTGTCTGCATACTGTAACAATGCATCTCCTTACTCCAGTGCTGCTTGTGACCAAGTCCATCCTCCACATCAGCAAAATGGCTGCCATTGGCTCTTTCAAAGCCTCTGAATTATTCTGCTGTGCAACACCAGAGTGGTTCTCTTTCTTTCCTCCAACAGAAAAAGTAGGAGGGGAACACCACTTTTATTGTTAAAGGCCTACATAAGGACTTTGGTGCTTGAGGGTTACAACAGAGAAATAGTCAACTTCAAAAGAACTTTAAAAAGAACATTTTTAAGCTTTCCAAAGTTAAGCAGGCTTGAAGAAGGGAAAGAGTTTTGCTACTCCTTAGCAGTGATATTACAGATACTATCAAATAGGTCCTCATAATCCAGGTAGCACTCTTGGATACAACTAATATTATAAATGAGGGGAAATGCTGCATTTTGTCAGGGACACAATAGTGAAGTGCAAAAGTGTTTTTCATCAGATGACATAAGGGCAGTTTACAGTAATTAAAACAATGGAATATTAAAATAAATATATAAATATACTTAATGGGGATTGAGAGTTATATTAAGAATTATTAGTATATAAGGTATGCAGATTTATATATAGAATCCTGGATGAGACTAATCTAACCATAACAATCTAATCTAAACACTCTAATATTAAGAACACCATCAACAAGCAAAAAATAATAGTGCTTAAAATAATTTTAATCTATAAAATCAGTTTTAAAGTAGAGCAATATACTGAGAGCTCTAAGAAATAAATATACCTTTCAAAGGATTAAAAGCAGCAGAATTGAAAGAAAGCACAAGCCAAGAGTTCAATTGCATTAAATTAATTGGGGCTTACTCCAAAGTAAGCATGTATATAGGGCTGCAGCCTAAGGCTATAATTATGTAGTTTCTCCAACATGATGCCCTCCAGATGTGTCGGACTAAAATTCTCATCAACCCCAGCCATCATGGTCAGTAAAAAATCAGAAACTGTAGTTCACAAAGCTAGTCAAGTCTGCCACATTCAGAGTATTTGACTCCATGGCACTTACTCCTAAAGAGAAATGTATAGGACTGCATTGCAAAATACTTAAAATTCTAAAAACACTCAAAGGGCATAGGCAAAACAAACAAAAAACAATAACAAAAGCCGATGCTGGACAGTGTCACATGAATCTCCTCCCCCATGAAGACAGGTCTCTGCATGAAGTGAGATTCCATAGCCAAACATATTATTATTCTGGTTGCCACTTGTTTGCACCTTTTGTCATCCTAAAGACACAAGAAGCAGGCATTCTTGAGTAGGACTCCAGGGAAATCTATCAGAATTACCCAAATATCATTGATGGGAAAATGGTACCTAGAGGCAGATTAACATTCCTGGTGTTTAAACATCTTAATGCATCTCTTTAAAAAGCTTTGATGGTGGATGTCACGGGCAGTTGCTTCTGAATTTTTAAATTTTTCCTTGCAGGCATTTGCTAATAAAACATTTCTTCTCTAAGCAGTTCTATTCTTTCCCTAAGAGATGGTTTTGGGACTAGGGCCATGTTATGTAAAGGATCTCTTCTTCCTCTGTGTTCCTGCCTATACCCTGAAATTGTTATCTAGTGCCTACCAAGTAGGCCCACATGTTTGTGAGTGGGCCTTTTCCGTGATGACCCGCAAATGGAGAAATCCCTTCTAGGTCAATCTGCCTGCTGTCCATGCTATGGATCTTTTGGCACCAGATAAATATCTTTAAGTACTCTATAAGGCTGCCACAAAGAGGAAGGACAAGACACTTGAGGCTATCTTTAGTGTGAATGTGCACACACTCATTCACTCACACACCATTTGTCACCTCC